ATTTTAACAGAAACTTTGGAAAAGAGAGACATTTGTGTTCTGTTGATCCCTCATTGCTTGATGCAACGTTATTGATATGGAGATTTGAGACTAACGTGAAAGATCTCTATCTGGCATAACGATATTTGATAAAACGGGAATTAAACATTTTGACTAAAATTTAAATTGTTGTCAAACCAGTGATTCTTCCCACGACTCCAAATGTTTCAGCGTACACAACCATTGGTGAAATAAATTATGATCTCTGCCTAGGATTACCAAGAAATTATTATGAAAGATAAGAGTTTCATGTGGTAAAATTGTTCATTAAGCATGTTATCGTGAATGGTTGCAAAATATGGGAAGCAATATCATAAAAATGCTTGACTTGCTTAGGAATAGGAAATTAATTTTGAAGGAGTTCCACAAAAAATTGAGGCGTGTCTCCTAACCAAGTAAGAGGCTGAAGGTACACTCCACAAAAAATAAAATTCTCGTAAAACTCTTCCACAGATTAAAAGAGCTCTATATGGATTGAAAAGGTTTCTTCAGCAGTTACTCGTGCCAATCAAGGATTGAAAATCCTACAACGAATAGCAAATCTTCCAGGTCACAACTGTCGTGAACAATGGGATCACAGAGGAATGTAAGCAGATACTGCTTGAAGTAAAATTTAAAATTAACTTAAGAGGGGGGAAAATAGGGAGAATAATTAAATAAATATATTAGTATTGCATTTTAGATTAACTTCATAATAGTGTATTCTGATGACCATTACCCATTCAAAAAATAACATAACCAGAATAGTAATTACCAGAAATGAAATTATTTGTAATTTTACGTATTTGTTGTATTGACGATAAGCAGTGGACAGTTTGGAATCTATCAAATTTTTATGTACATAACATCAGAAATTAATAAAGAAATGTGGCACTGCATGATTTAAATTTCAAATTTCATTTGTATTAAAAAAATTAAACTATATTTATTCAAAACCACATTTCAGATGGCAAATGATCACAAGTAGCTCGCCAGCTGCTTTTAAAATGTCGGAGAGCTGCAGTTTCGACATGTCTGGCATATACAGTAACGTAGGGATTTGGCCAAAATGTTGCCAAGTTTATAATTTGTCACCAAAAGCCATTAATCTGGTTAAATGGGCCAGCTCCTGTAATCTTCCCTTTCCAACTGAGCTTTGTATTCATGTTACTCTGTAAAAGAGACTATAACTTCACTAAAATTATTTACAAATATACAAAAATTCTTAACGATATTTGTATATTTATTGTTTTTAATTACTTTAGCACAGAATATGTAATTTGCTTTTGTTTAACCGTATAGTCTATTTTGTTATGGTTAAGTGTAAAGTTTAATGTTACATAGTGTGTATTTAGGATGTGTGTGTGAAATTTTTGTGTTTACTTACCTGACCGTCTTATAGCTATAATAAGAGAAGCATACATGACAGCTTATTTATTAATAACTGTCACAGTCAAAACTTGTGTGTGTACAGTAGTATCATTTGTTGCCATCAATAAAAAAAAGTGTACCCGCAATGTGTCGGATAATAGACAGCATTATTAACCATACTGTATAATATTTGGGTGGATTTGGAGTACAGGTTGAATATTGTCGCAAAAGGGTGGTTTTAATTCTAAGGCAAAACTTCTACCATATCTAAAATCAATCTTTCTAAATGAAGAACATCATATCTATAATTGATCCATATTCGACAAGGTTAAGTTAAATATTTATTTACAATATATACAGTTAATTAGTTACTTAATGAACATACAGAAAATTCTACTAATCAAAGAAAATATTTATTTACAATATATACAGTTAATTAGTTAATGAACATAGGGAAAATTCTACTAATCAAAGGATATGGCTTATTGCGCCATTCCCATCTAGCATCTAACTTCTACTTCAGGTGAGGGCGCTGCTATTGCATTATGATATCATATTTCTATACAGATATCTGCATGCAACTAAGGGTAATTATATAGAAGTGTACTGACAATGTTAGTGACAGTAACAGAGTCAGTTTCCTAATGGCAGGCTGTTGTGCATCAGCATTCATTCCTAATTAATTCTTGATTGAATAGATTTTGAGACCACTGCCTTTTATAGCTACAAGCCAAACTCCCTGTTCTTAAATTTAGTTTTCTGTACCTTATATATCTGGCTGTAACTTCACAGTTTCAAGTTTACAAATAAATTGGATATGAGCTAAAAATGTAGGAGCAAATATTTTGAGATGCTAGTGGTATTATCTGAAATTTTGAAATCTGTTATCAAAATCTTCTGATCAAATGGTAAATACAATCACATATTTTACTTATTTGTATGACTGGCCAGGCAAAATTACGAGGGCTATCCAGAAAAGTAGATTATGTTTTGGAATAAAAAAATAAACAAAGTATAGGAAACAAATTTTATTATATACAGATGAAAGCCACACTCAAATACTACTTTTCTACATAGTCACCATACAAATTAAGGCATTTATCGTAGCGATGTACGAGCTTGGAAATTCCTTCGTCAAAAAATTCGGCCGCCTGCGCCTTCAACCACTTCGTTACCTCTTCTTGCAGCTGTGCGTCGTCATCAAAACGCTGCATAGCCAGCCACTTCTTCATTGCTGGGAATAGGTGGAAGTCGCTCAATGCCAGGTCGGGACTGTACGGCGGATGAGGAAACAACTCCCACTTAAAAGATTCAAGAACTTTACGAGTGACATTTGCCGTGTGGGGCCGGGCGTTGTCGTGAATCACAAGATCTTAGAGCTCAACATTCCTCTGCGCTTGTTTTGAATTTCTCTTCTGAGTTTTTGGAGAGTTTGGCAATACCTTTGAGAGTTTATTGTAGTGTCTCTTTCCAGGAAGTCCACCAAAATTACACCTTTTCTGTCCCAAAAAACAGTCGCCATCATCTTCCTTGCCGATATTGTTTGCATGCATTTCTTGGGTTTTTGGGGAGAACTTGTGTGCCCCCACTGCATTGATTGCAATTTCATTTAACAGTTCACATGTTTCACCCATGTTTCGTCACCAGTAACGATGCGATCGAGTAAAGAGTCACCATCCTTATGGTAAGCGTCCAAAAAGTTTCAACGCTGCAGCCATTCGCTGATTTTTGTGGTCCTCTGTCAAGATTTTTGGAATCCATCTTGCACAAAACTTGTGGTAACCAAGCTTTTCGCTGATGATTTCGTGCAACAACTTCGCGAAATTTGTGGAAACTCAAAGAAAGTTCCGTTATTGTGAAATTTCGATGTTCACGGACTTTAGCATCGACTTTTTCGAGAAGTTTCGGCGGTCACTATGCTGGGTCCTCCCACTTCGATCTTCGTCGTGAACATTGGTTCAGCCATTTTGAAATCTTATGACCCACTGACGCACTCCACCTTCAGTGATAATGTTGTCCCCATACACTTCACGAAGCTGCCGATAGATTTCTATCGGTTTTACAGTTTTTTGCAGTCAGAAACCTTATTACTGAGCGCACCTCGCAGCTCGCGGGATTTTCAATTAACGCAGACATTTCAAACCGTCACAGTATCTGAATGGAGCACAGCACGAACCTCTCACTAGCACGGCTAGATGCAGACTGAGCTGCGCAACGCTCTGACCCCAAGATGGCCGCGCTAGCCCCGCCCCTAGCGGACACAGACGGAAACGTAATCTACTTCCTGGATGGCCCTCGTAAATGTTAACTTTCTATCAGAAGTTGAAATGATTGAATTTTTTATCCTATGAATATTGTAAAACAATACTTATTAATTGCTTTTGGCTTTAAGATGTACCATGTGTCTCAGTAAACCACCAAATCTGTTTAAAAAAAAAAAAAAAAAAATTATCAGATGCGAGTTTGTGATTTTATTATTTTTTGAGATTTTATTAAAAAGATCACAAAATTATCAACATATAAAAAGAAAATGTACTTGAAGCATTTAAATGCAGATTTTTGATTAATAAGTAAAAATTATATGATAATAAAAAAAATAAAGCTACCTTTTTTGGGAAATCGCTCTGTAGTTTTTTAATGCTATTCCATTTTGTTTTGGTGGGGGAAATTGGGTAATTGTACTAACTGAGCATTACGTACTGATTATGGTAACAATCACCCAAGGACAGATGAAACTTTGATATACGTAAAGCATTCCAACATAATAAAAAAAAAAAAAAAAGGGAATTCTGTTTAAGCGTTTAAAAATAACTTAAAGCGATCAACAATAGAAAAAAAACGACTGGGCTAGAAATATTCCACAATTCCATAAACTTGAGTTTAAAAAAAAAGGGGGGGATAATATTATATCTAATAAGGAAATTGTCAACTTTGGCGTGCACCCAGTACTTGACTTTTAGCCCTGCATTGCAATGGTGAGCTTTGGAAACTGCACATGTTGGGCATACCTGGTTGCAGAAAACATTTTAATAATAATACAATACTTTGTATTTGATTAGGTAATCTGTTATGGTTGGACTGGTTTATCATTAACTTAATAGAAGTTATGTTGAAACGTGCGTTTCATGCTAGTTTATAAAATTATTATTAAACATTTCTGTAGGTATTAATTTTATTAACATAAGAAGCTTTTAAAATTTGTCCAAAATTTTTATTTTGAGGTACACATTGTTAATATTCGATTGTTGAAGTACAATTGATATTCATTGTAGAGGCTAAAATTTTGATCTTGTGTAGCAAATAAAGATTTTGTTTTAGATCAAAAGCCTGTTTCATTCTCGGTTTTTCATTTCAAATCATAATTAAGCAATGAAATGATTAAATAAATGTCATTTTATCCGAAACCTCTTAAATAATTGTTTTTGCCAAGCTGCTCAAAATTTCTATATGTAAGCATATGCTCTGTATTTTAAGTAATGTTTTTTCATAAACTAAATTTTACTTAAATATTATTATGTCATATATATGTTAATATATTCACATGCATGTGTGTTTTAAGTATTAAGTGGTTTATTGTTTTTATTATATGAATTTTTAAATTTCCTATGCAGGATTTGGAATTCTTTGATTTCAAAAATGTTAGTGAAGAGGAAATCAAAGAAATACAAGCTATACTTAAAGGTCCTGGAAGCAATGGCTGTGTTGAGGTAATAGAAGGTGATTTCTCTGAGGTTAAAATTAAAACTCTTTTAGAATCATTATATATGTAGTATTTAATTTTTTTGCACTTTTCAGCTACCTTGGGAAATTCCAATAAGAGAAAACAGTGCTGAGGTAGCTCCACAAAATGAAGGTACTATTACTTTTTGCTCATAATTTGAATGTTACTTTTCTTTAGTTTACAACTTGCATTTTTTTAAATTTATTAATTGGCTGTTAAATTCATTAATATTCTTTACAAGTAAATTCTTATCTGATGTGCAACATTTAGAAATCATTATTTGATAAGAAAATTGTTTTCCTTTTTTTTATTAATAAAAATTAATTTATTAAATGAAAAATGTAGTTTAGTATATTAGAGAAGATATTTTAGAAAAGTAGGAAATAAATAGCAAACACACCAGCATCCTTAAATTATGTGTTGCAAAAAGCTATAGTATTATTTTGAATTGCTTTTTTTTTATTTGCAGGTGTAGCTGAAAAAACTGAGATAAATTCAACGAAAAGTACTAAGACTTTAGGAACAGTTGTTGGGCAAGATTTACATTTTGTCTCACCTCAGACTCCTCTTTCTCCTCCAATTGCACGACTACCACCTCCTCCTGTTGAAGCATTTGTTACGCCACCAACAACAATCGGTCCGTATCCAAATACTCCGTACTTTGTGTCCAGGACTATACCTTACCTGCGTGCCTACTCGCATGTAGGAGTGCCCTTCTTTGCATGTCCTATACCGGGTGCAGGGGAGTCAAGTCCTATGCCCTCTCCATACGGTCAGTTTGTACCTGTGGTCCCAGCTACAGTAGGACAAGAAAAATTTATTGGACAAATAGAAAATGAAAATACTCAGAAAAACAGAGGACCTGCTGACAGGCAGTTCAACCGACGCAACAAAAAGAAACTTCCCAATACTGAGTATTGTGGTTCTTATGATTCTGAAAATGTTGTGGATGTCTACAGAGACGCAGTTTTAGGTGATGAACAAACGTCAGTTTCATCTCCCGTTTCTTCCACTGTTAGCAACGAACGTCCAACATCTGTGCCTCTTGTGCCTTTACCTGTGCCACCATCAACGTTTGGTGTTGCGGGTGGTACACTTCCCTTGCATGGTTATCCGCCTGGTTTGCACACACTTCCATACACACAGATGTCTGGACCGCAAGCACCTTCAGCTGCCATGTATTATGTTCCCGTATTTAATCATCCTTATGGCAGTTATATACCTTCTCCTCCTTCAGCTCCTATGGTTCTTCCTGTAAACCTCCGCCCTGAAAGTGAACCTACTTCAGAAATAAATACAGAGAGTAATGAAGTAATTAAAAATATTAATACTGTTGTTCCATCTGTATCTCACCCTAAGTCTTTAGAAAATGTCCAGTCAAACTGTGAGGTTGAACCAGCTCCTGAACAGTGTGTCCAACATGCTGATGCCAAACAGGCACCTGTTGACCCTACTGCCAAAAACACAATTTCAGAGGGGGAAGAAGTAACAGACTGTAACTCCTCCTCTGATTATCCTTTAAGCAAGAGTATTAGCTCTTCTCCTGACTGCATTCCTGAAACAGCTGATGATAATTGTAAATGCCAACCAGCAAATGAAGATTACAAAGAACCTATTCGGGATTCTTCACGTTGCTGGGCTGACTTGTTCAAGAAACCATGTACTGAGGTCAATGGCATTGATCGTCAACTTGCTGTTGAACAGGGACATGAAAATATTAATAACTTAAACAAAGATATTTCAAATGGAAAATTGTACTCTGTGCCTGCTAGTGATGATGTTCTGTAGATGTTATGAACTAAGAACTGAAGTGTGGCTGTGCAACATATTTTGCCTGAAAAACATTTTTAATGAGACTGTTTTGCAGGCTGCTACACATTGTCAGCGTGATATTGTTGTGATCATGATTGAAGGGTTGAGCTTTTGTGCATAAGTATATTTAAATTATTAGGTAGGGTAAATTTTTGTGCTATCTTTCACTCATATCTACCACATTTCACTTGCTTCTGCAAAAATGAAGTGCAGTTGTGTGGTGTAAGATTATACTGGACTGTGCATTACTAACTTTACAGTGTAAGATTTGCTGTGTTTTAATTTTTATCTTGTTCTTTACAAAATATAATGTACATACACTTTTCTAAAATAGACTTATGAATGAAGACTTTAGCAAATGTGTCTGAAAATTTAGGTATACATTTTTCTAAAGTTAGACAAGAATTATTCATGTTCAGAAATCAAATGTAGGAAAATTGTTTTTGCTTTGCATTTTTTTGCTTTAATCGTACTGTTTAATGGCAATAAAAGAAGAAAATCATGCAATTTTTCAATGTAACTGTTGAAGTTATTGTCAGCAACTGAAATATGCAATTTTCTTACCTGTTAACAAGTTTATGCAAATCCATATGCAATACAAGTTAATGTTATGATTGTGGAAGTTATATGAAGAAAATAAATTTTTAATAGCATAGAAAATTTGATAAACTTAATTCTGTTTTCAGCTGTATGCTAAAATATTTTACTTTTTATTTATTTATTTTTGTAATATGGTTTTATTGTGATATTGATGCTTTTTTAATAATTTATTAACATTTTTTTAGTTTTTCTTAAGCTAGTATCAAAATTGCATACTGTAAGTCAATAAATATATTAAAATGAAAATATGCATGAACAATGATAAAATTATCTGTCAGTCTAATTTTTAAAACATTTTTTGGCCAGGAAAACAAAAATGAATTTTCTTTGTATCAGTTTTATGCAAAATTAAATATGTAAATGAATTTTAGATTAATTTTTTGCATGTTTCTACTAATTTATGATGCATTATTTATTGGAATTGGTGAGATTATTAAATAGTGCTGTTCATTAATTCTTAAACTGTATGTTTTATTAGTAAACAAGAAACTAGACGATAATTCATTTCAGTGTTTCCCAAACTGATGTAGTGATATTTTTCCTTACCCATTTACATATTAAAAGACTAATTTAATAATATGTGATTTTTAAATATAGTGTAAAAAATATCTATTCTGGCATATACTGTTTAAGTAGTTTTTACGGTATTGAAAATAACATCTTTCAGATGTATTCATAGCTAATAGAATTTATTCACAAAACTTAAATTATGTAAATGTTTCATCATTATTCAAATGTTTGCTAAGATAAGCATATAGCATACAGGTATAATAGTCTTAATTCCTTTGCATTTTTCATCTGGGAAGTAATTCGGTCCCTCTCCCCTCCCCTGAAAAAAATAGTACTTGTTTTATTTTCCATTAAGCAGAATGTAAAACATTTGGTTGTTTTCTAATTTAAGCAGAGAAAAATATATCTGAAACATAATTTTATAAATAATTGTTGTGTTAAATTATTAATTTATTATGGTGTTACATTTGTATGATACTGTTAAATGAATATGAAGCATATTGAAATACTTAAGTAGGTCACTATTGCTATTTTTTAACAAATATTATTTTGCGTTTAGAAAAAATCTTTGCAGTTGTGTCAAGTATTGTATTGTTTTTAATCAAAAATGCGAAGTTTTAAACCATACCATATATTACTTGCTAGTAGTATGCTTTACTTCTTTTGAAGTTGGTGAAAATTACTTTTTTAATAGTCTTATTTTCAAGACAGTATGGGAAACACTGTTATAAATCTAAAATAAAATTTCCCTTTGTAGTTTAAAATTTATAAAGTATTGAAATTATTTGTTGCAGAAAACTACCTAAATTTTAAAAATAAGGTTTTTTTTGGAGGGGAGAATTACAAAAGCTATTTCACATTTAATTTCTCTAAATAAATACATCAGATCATATTTAAATTTCCAGTAATCTATTTTTAATATAGCATCATATTCATTATCAATTCAGATGATATAGATAACATGTTATGGTTTTGTTGTAATTAAATAATAGTAACGTTTAAAATTGTGTAATGATTTTATGAATGAATGTCCTATAATTTTAATTCAAATTAAACTGGCAGCTATGAAAGGAACCTAATAATTTTTGGCTAAACATAATGAAGTCACATTTTTGGCTATTGAGTATTTGTTAAAACTAGATGAAAGTTTTTTGTATAAACGCATCATTTAAAATTTTTGGAAGCAAGTAAAGCTGAAAATCGGTCCTCTGTATCTAAATGTATAATTCGAAAGAAGATGAAAAAAAGTAATTCATCAATCAAAATCAGACTTTTGTTTTAGCAATTTTAGTCGTCCATCGTGGAAGCAATGCAGATTTCTTATATAACAAAAGAGGCTTTAAATAATATTTTGTACTGTAATAAAATAATTGCCTTTTTTTAAATCTATGTTATTTTATATATAACATATTGTATTTTTTTTAATTGTAAAATCTTAAGTTCTCACAAAGATAGCAAACATTTCAGAAAAAACTTAATAAGAATCATTTTCCTTTAAAGGAAAAGAAAAACTATTTAAAAAATTAATATTGTTATTATAATTATATTATTATACAAGTTTTAGTATTATAATTATATTATTATTTTACCAGTTTTTCAAAATTAATAATTTTTCATGGGTCCGATATATATTTGATATCATACTACACAAATTGGAGATGCATATGAAAAAATTCAGCAGTCTGAATATCCTATTATGAGCATACATGATTAATAAGTTACCTTTTTATACATTTTTTATGTAAAATTTTGGTGATCAAACATTGTTATTATTAAATGAATTGTATGATAAATGTACAGATTAAAGTTTGCACACAGTAAAATTTCTGGCTTAGTTGGTAATTGGAGCTTTTATGTTTTTAGAAGTTGACACATTCGGTTACTTTTTCAGGATAAGAATCAAACCTCATTAAACCTGCAGATACCAATATTCATGCTTACAGTTAACATTAGCTCTTTTTTAGTTTATTGTGTTTTCTTTTCTCGTTAATCATTTTGAGAAGACATTTTGTAATAGTTATGCGAAGGTAAAAGTTGTAACCTGATTAAAATAGACAAATTTTTTGCATTCTTTACCTCGTGGTTTATAACTGTTTCTTTATGAACATTTTCAGTTAATTTCTATGTAATCAAAGTGCAAGTGATTAGTGAGATGATATTGTTCATTAGGTACAAAAACAACTAGTACTGCTTCTTCTCTAATGTACTGCCTATTTTATAGTGATCCTTTTAAAAAAATCTGGTTTAAAAGTTTTGGTGCATACTTAGCTAGCCCTAGTCAATTTATATGATTTTAAAATGCAAATTATCATGTCATAAAGCAGTACTAGGGTCAAATTACTGAAATATATTAAGCTAAAGAAAGCAGTAACTACGATGAACAAACCTAAATGAAAGATTTAGCCAGGAAGCCTTGTTAAAATGGATCAGCATAATGCTATGAAAGTTCTGTACTGAAGTAGCTGAGGTGTTCGCTGAAAATTATGAAATATTCAGCATACATCCAAGTAGCCTAAATCTTCCAAGTATGCTGTGTATAACATGATTATATCTTGGTATTTATTACAATTCCATTTAAAACATTTCCAATCATTGACTTTAATATAATAATAAATTATATACGGAGTTTACTTCAAAACACCTGTGAAAATCATTGCTATTTAAGTATTCATAATATGGCACTTTTTTTTATTTGTGTAATTTGTAATCTCAGATTTATTTCTAGCTTCTATTTTCATAATGTTATACTTGTCTCCTGAATAGGTGTCCATAATGTGGGGAAAAAAACGTGATTTATTGTGTTTCCATTCATTAAAATATGTGAGGAAGAATGAAAGATAACTAACTATTGCTGAAGTAGTATCTGAAATTCATGAATTAAATAAGTAAAAATTATGTAATTCCAGCTATTTTCAGGAGACAATAAAAGCACAGAAAATCAGCATCAGACAACAAATACTGATTAAAATTATAACTTCCATGTCCATTTGTGATAGTCTTAATTGTTATGTCATTTTTAATAATTTCCAGTTCCAGTTTACTTTATCATTAAAATTACTTCTTTTCATATAATTGTTTCTAATGATAATTATGTGGTCATTTATTTTATGGAATTTTTTATCACAAACTTTAATATAATAATAAAAAGCTTGATGAGAATTTGTGTGTCTGACCACAAAAAATATGTATGACTAGTTGTAGTAAATTTTAAGAATGTACCAAATCAAAATCCTGCCCTTATGTGAGGTGTAATGATTCAGTGTTACCATTTACTGAATTAAGAGTTGTGAAGACCCTATCAATGATTGAGTCACTAAAACTAAACTGGGGAACATTTGCAATTCATCACGAGTCCTTACCAGTTGAACAGGGTAGTTGATTGAATTTCCTATGTCTTTCCTGAGATTTGAGCAGCAGTTGAGGCACCTGAAGGTATCTTCCTCGCAGGACTATAATTGAAAACCATTTAGAATAAAAAAGGGCTGTCAATAACATTAGACGCAGTTAGACACTTTAAAACATTAAGTTCAATTATGGTATGATATATTTGTCCCTATCTACTATCTAGCGAAACCACAGCCAAGGGAACGGGCTTGGCAGAATCAGCGGGGAAAGAAGACCCTGTTGAGCTTGACTCTAGTCTGACTCTGTGAAGAGACATGAGAGGTGTAGTATAAGTGGGAGATCGCTCTGCGGTCGTCAGTGAAATACCACTACTTTCATCGTGTCTTTACTGACTCAGTGAAGCGGAAAGCGGTCCGAAGGGACCACGTTTCTAGCACTAAGTGTGGGGACTTTGCTCCCCGCACGATCCGCTCTGAGGACAGTTCAGGATGGGGCGGTACATTATCAAAAAGTAACGTTACCCCACGATATCTTATTATTACACATTCTTTGTAAAGTACTAACAAGAATGAAGTCTTGAAAAAAACATTAAAAATATGATGATACTCGAGTACTTGGCTGCTTATTCTAGCACTAATAATAATCAAATATGAGCATCTGCAGAATTTTCATAATTAACCAAAAAAAAAAACCTCGAACATCCTCATATTAATATCTTGGGATTTTCAGTTCCCTTTTAATCCATTCCTTTTTCACATATTATTGCACTGTATTCAAGTTTTTATGTATGTAGAATTTATATATTTTGTATTGTGTTTATGTCAATTTATATTTAAATGATAATTTTTACAAATTCTTGTATCATAACTCTAGTTAACAGAAGATGTTTCTAACACCTTGGTAAAGTTTAATCTTCAGCATGCAACTCATTTTCCAACCTAGTTTCACGCTGAGTTATTTGTTAATAAAAATAGTCGCTAAATTACACTAATAATATTTCTGTTGTAATTTATAATACAATGAGTTCATGTGATTTATAATTCATTTATAATTTTTTCAGCAGTGTTGAAATTAATAGCAGATACTGATAATGTTATACATTTATATTGCCATTGCCTTCTTCACTGTTGCTTTTATACTACATTCCTAATATTTTATAATGGCACACAGATAAGTTTAACTCATTTTCCAAACATGTATATCTCTGATTCAGCCCACTTTTGTTCTTACGTATACTGTATCTTCTATTTTCTTCAATATTATGTTCAGCCTAATTTCAGAATATCTTATGATCAAGCGGAAAAGTCACTGAGCATTGGTAGTTCAACCCGAGTTTCTACTCCCAGAAAACCTCAGCTCTTTCTTTTTTTGTACTTATTTACTGTGTAAAAATACTTTTAAATTTTATTCTTTAGAAATGTTGAAAAAATTTTCACCTAGCATATCTTTTTACAAATCAAAATAAGGAAAGAAATTAACTCTGTTTTGGTGATTGATATCTCAGTTCAAATCGTGTAATTTTTTGCAAGAGCATAGAGTTTATATGGATATCAATAAATAATGGATTATTTCTAATCTAATTTTCTTAACATTTTTATTCCAGAATTTTCCTTTCGCACTGTAGCGTTTAACTTTATGAGTTTTCTATAATCATTTACATTTGTTTATAATTTTACACGAATGAAAATGATTATTTAACTGTATAAGATTTGCTGAAAGATAAACGGGAAAACAAAATTCTATCCCTTGCGGACAAGAGAGTGTTTGATGTAATAATTTTTACATGTTTTCGTTGATAGTTTTACTTATTTTGTTTCATTTATGCATTACTACATAGTTCTTTTCAAAAATATTTTTCTGTGCCCTATGTCCGCATTTCAGTTTCAAGGAATTCTAATCGTGAAATCACAAAAAATACCTGCGCTTGTTAAGTAATTGTAAATCATCGATTCTTTCCTTCCTGTTTGCGTAATTCCTGCTTTTTCTTTTTTTTTTTTTTTTATGCTGCATCACACCATTTATTGCAGCGTATATATCTATCTGAATTTCACGAATTACATGTGTGAAGAAAAATATAGTCGGATGGGAATGATAAAAATTCACTTGGAATTTTGGATGAAGTGCTTCGCATGCATTTGTTGTTCTTTCTGATGAAATATCAGCGCAAGCCAAAAGTATTGGGGGAAATTTTGCATCCTCATCTAGGTAGTTCTCAGTTATGTAATCAGCAAAGCGTGTGATGATTGCATCCCGTGGTTGCTCTGACATCAGATCTTCAACAAAGCTATGGCTGCTAGGGTAAAAATAATTAGGCTTAGCCACACTTAAACACTTTTAAATTGTTGATAAAGTATTGCATGCAGATTCATTAAAGGTATAAAGACCTTAACTGAAAGATAAGAACAACATATAAGAATTAAGAAACTGAGCTCATTGAGCCGAGTAACAAAGTGGGTATATATAATGTGTATATATATATATATATATTCATATACTTTTGGTTCGGCCGAATGCAACCAAAAACAGGTGTACATCTACATGCTATAGCAATCCTGTATACAAAATTTCAGCGTTCTGACACTACTCGTTTTTTGAGTTATGAGAGATACATACACACGTACGTACGTATTCTGAATCCATTTTAAATCAGATTTATAATTAGTTTGGGCAAATAGAGTCCTTTATTCTTTCCTTATGTACAGATGCCGCACAAAAACATCATTAAATTGCATTCAATAATTGTCAAAATGGATATTTTCATTGAAATATTATATCCAAAATTTTTCATGATTACAATAACTTCATTTACAAGGAAGTAAAAAGTATAAATTAAAATGACGCGCTAATGTTATTCGGATATTTCCGAGTATATAGCACAAACTTTTGCACCAAAAGTTTAAATTTTTGGTTTAAAAAATAAGCTTTTATTTATTGAGAGGCCTGATTGATTATATTAATTCTCAGTTCTCTTTATCTAATTCTTTCCTCTAGATAAATCTTACAAAAAACTTATCATAATAATTAAATTTATTTACAATTTATATGTCAGAGTTCCAAATGTGTACTAATGTTGTTGTTATAGATTTCATGGTAAACTTTTTTAATTTAACTAATATTTTCTGCAAACATTTACATGATTAATTAACAAAAAATATTTCTAGCACACTTTGATACGGAATAATCTTTTGCACGTCAGGAAGCTATACTAAATTTTCCAGTCTAGTTCAGACATCATGACTATTATTGATGTCATTTTATAAAAAATATAATTTGTATGCTTTATAATTATTTAATTTATGATATTATTATAATACTTTTTGGTCTAATATTGTAATTAATGAAAGATGTTTGTAATGCTAATATGTATGTTTATTAATACCTTTTATTTTCTTTGTTAGCTCTTGCATTTATTACTGTTATTCAAGTAATTAGCGTGCTTGTTAAATATTCTTTACTTGTTCTTGTGATATGTAATTCTACTTCTTTATTTTAATTTTCCTCTTTGCTACAATTGGCTTCGAAAAGTAAAATTGTAACCCTGTAGGCAATGGGGGAAGAAATTTTTATTCGTGCAGTTGGAGTACACCCCTCTTGAGTATTAACTGTATGTCGGAGTTTACTTCAAAACACCTGTGAAAATCATTGCTATTTAAGTATTCATAATATGGCACTTTTTTTTATTTGTGTAATTTGTAATCTCAGATTTATTTCTAGCTTCTATTTTCATAATGTTATACTTGTCTCCTGAATAGGTGTCCATAATGTGGGGAAAAAAACGTGATTTATTGTGTTTCCATTCATTAAAATATGTGAGGAAGAATGAAAGATAACTAACTATTGCTGAAGTAGTATCTGAAATTCATGAATTAAATAAGTAAAAATTATGTAATTCCAGCTATTTTCAGGAGACAATAAAAGCACAGAAAATCAGCATCAGACAACAAATACTGATTAAAATTATAACTTCCATGTCCATTTGTGATAGTCTTAATTGTTATGTCATTTTTAATAATTTCCAGTTCCAGTTTACTTTATCATTAAAATTACTTCTTTTCATATAATTGTTTCTAATGATAATTATGTGGTCATTTATTTTATGGAATTTTTTTATACCTGGCATTGCACAGTTCTAAAATCATTGACTATTTCCTCTCCATTTCTACCATGCTAATAAAACAGGAAGGGTTATTCAAAATGTTCAATCCTGCTTCAAGTAAACAAATTCCAGACTTCTTGTATATTAATTTTATATGCATAGATAAAAGTATGAAATTTCTGAGTTTTAAAAGGCACCCAAATGTTGCTGTGCCAAAAAAGGGTGATCCGAAATTAGTGCTTCTTGCCGTTTATGATATTGTAGGAGATTTAAACATTTTACCCTCCGGTTCAGTTGACAACTTTAAACTGTTTTTCATAGTTATGTCATTTGGGACTTTTCGATGTTTCAGCGAATGCCATTGTTATCTTAGTTGTAGGAGTACTATGCTGCTTTTTTAAATAAAGCCAACATAGCATATTCCCTTTTAAACATAATTTCGCGTTAATCACTCATATGCAAAAGTATATGACAGTGTTATAATGTATTTGGGTTAATTTTAGGTTATTTGAATATCTCAATGTGTTTGGAATAAAAGCAGTAGTATATTCCAACAGGGACGAAAGCAAACAGCTATCTGGTTTAACTGAAATGTTCCCAACTTTCTTTTTTTTCCTGCCGTCCACTTTTCAGAAAAATAGAAACCACACCGACCTTCGTTCTTGAAATCAATATACAGTCAAAAGTCTTTAATCCGGACCCGTCGGGACTTCGGCGATTCCGGATTATAGATCATCAATTTAAATCTGGTAAGATGGCATGCAGAAATTATAAAATTAAAAATATGAAACCATAATTTATGAAATAAAGAGCAATAATGATCTAAAGGGTATCAAAATTTACAAAAAAAAGCTTAATATTTATTTGTTTACTTTATTAAAAATTTCTTTTAACGCGCGCATGCGTAAGTCATACATTACGCATAGTCGAAATTAGAAAATTGCAACCAGAAAACTATTTGATGTGTATTCGTGATATTTATAATGACGAGGAATTTAATTTAAATCATATCAAAGACGGAGTACATCGAGATGAAATACTACATTTAGTAACGAATTATAAGCCAAATAAAATAAAAACATCTGCCCTGAAGATAAGGATAGTGCTGACAAATCAACTTCCAGTTCATTGCGCGCCGCGATGTTCCCCCCCCTCCTCCGCAGAGCAGCGTGAAATTGATAAACATATTTCGGAATGATTAGAGAATGAAAGGATATGCCTTTATCCATTTCTTGCTGAGTAATTCCACTTTTTGTTTGATGGACATCGAAACATGCTTTCGCTTTGTAGATCCTTTGGTAGCTCCAGAATCGGAAATTCTTTTTGACATAATCGAAAGTTCAAGCTTACTTTTATAAAATTGCTCTAACAGTCTGCAAAAAATAATAAGCCGGATCCAATTAGAAGATTAAGGAACAACGCAATCTGCAACATTAACTAAAACAGATAATTGTAGCTTAGCTTATACCGTCCGTTATACATTAAACGCGCATGCGTAAACGTATTATGCGCGCAGAAAGTTTAGCTTTGAGGTCCTAATTATAGATCATTCCGGATTAACGACTTTTGACTGTATTAGTTTACATAGTTTTCCACCTTCTTTTGGTTCATAGCCCGCTTTTTCAAACAAAATGTCCCTTTTAGGTGAAATATAAATGTATTATGCACTGAAAAACAAGGGCATAATTTTAAAATTGTTAAAAGTTATTAATATATAGGAGTATTGCTAAAAGTTTGATTACAAATATACATATGGAATAAATATGATAACAGTGAGAGGACTGATTTTGTATAAAAATATTTTTCAACATTCGGTGTCATATTTGTCATCAGCTTGTGCAAACTTGTAAATATAAACTTTGTCGATCAAGCCGGTACTTACACACACATACTCTAGTGTGTATGTTCGTGTGCTAGTTAAAGAGGTATTTCGGAACAAAGCTACTACTATAACCAGAGTCGCGATGGTCTGTTTTCTACCCTCGCCAAAATAAAATATGCATCTAGAAAAAATATCGTTTCAAACTTTCAAATCGCTTTGTCCTTTAATGGAGGAGGAACTGCCGTTGATCTCAAATGGAATTTCAGTATTTTAAGCATACAAGTTAACAAAGGACTTGGGCTGTCTGTGGGTAAGACATTTATAACAATTTGTGAAATGTGTGTTCGAGGATTTTTACTATTAAAATTTTCATCGCGTTTCTGCGAATATAGTCCCGGGAGGCCGCAACTTGTCCTCAACGTCCATTGGCGTAACCAGATAAGAAAGATGCGTTGCAAATGGTGATTCCGAGGGTGACGGTCGCTCGTGTAACGAGCTCCCGCCAACGCAGGGCAATTCTCCGAATTTTTGCGATAATAATGATATTATTGACCAAGATATGAATGAAATTAGGGATCAAGCTCCCTCTGTGCAATCAGTGTCGCCAGATGACGAACGCATGGACCTGGTTATCAAGTTTTATGACATGAAACAGCAGTTTGAGGCCATACAGCGTCAGAAGAATTTTATGAAGAAGACGCCAACGCCACTGGACCAAAATGGATACGACCGGGCGGGTAAGTCACTTTTCCATAAGATTAATGACATTGCTAATGCTCTAGATGTACCCATTTTTCACCTTCCCTCAACCAGAGAGGAATTTCTAAATATATTGGAGAGCGAGCGCTTAGCCAAGATGGCTGCCGCTCAATCCGCAGAAGATCCTAGAAAGCACGAGGCATCTATTCCCACGCACGAGGTGCGGGGGAAACCGGTCCAGTCGACGTCATCGCGGAAGCGAAAGACGCAGACTATCGACTCTGACGGGTTTATCACCCCCGCGGCTCGAAAGCAAGGGAAGGCGCCTATTGTGGATCTCACAATAGATGATTTGGCTCAAAACGCTAAAGAATGCAAATACTATTATTCCAAATTCTAAATTGACAGCCACTTCAAAAAATGCTACTCCTAAAAAGGAGAGGAATACTAACAAGTATGAAAAAATCAAAAATTCATTAATCAGCGATCAATCCAATGACGCAGAAATTGCTACTGCAAGTACTAGTGAGGGAGTTAATTCCGAGCAGGCACGGAACGTACCCCCCCCCCACCGCAGTCTGAGATTCCGGCAATACATCTCAAAAGCAGCAAAAACTGGAAGACACAAGTGTCTTTCATGAGAGAAATTGCCCCTAATTTACGGAGCATCCTGACTGGACCTTATCTCAAAATTTTTGTTCAGACAGAGCTGGAGTTCAGGGAGGTCACCCGCTGGATGAAGCAAGCCGGCATCCAGTTCAAAACTTTTCGATCTCAAGCAGGACCGGCCAGTCAAAATTGTCATCAGAGGCCTCCCTGTTGAAACTGATGTCGGGGATCATCAAAGAGGAAGTTGAGGCGATGGGATTTAAAGTGCATCGCATCGTTCGGCTTACTCAGCCTGGCTCCAGACACCCAATGCCACTTGTGTATTTACAAGTTATCCCACATCCCTCCACACCCCTTCCTCGATCATCTGTTTGCCGTCACTGACATGTGGGGCACAGAGATCAGCATTGAGCGTTACCGCGGGCCGCAAGGGCCCTACTCAGTGCTTTCGGTGCCAGGGCTTTTTCCATTCTTCGGAACTCTGCACCCTTCCAATCCGTTGTGTCAGATGCTCTGGACCCCATTGGGCACGTGAGTGTACCAAAGGCTTAGATGTACCTGCCACTTGCTGCAACTGCGGTGGAGATCATCCTGCTTCTTATAAATCTTGTCCCCGCTACCCAGGTAACAAACGGGCTCGCGGTAAAAATTCCGCGCCTAAGACTAGGGCAGCTGCTCAGACAGCCCCCCCGCAGGGTTCTTCTAAGCCCCCAGCAACTGCTGAGACAAGACGTCCCATGCCTGCTCCCCCAAGCAACGTCAGTTCACCATCTTATGCACAGATGGTGAAGAACACCACCGAGCACGGATTCAAATCCACGAATCCAAGACTGCCGGTTGCAGAAGCCCCTGCAGCCCCAGCAGTGTCAGCCACAGCAGAGTGTAGCAATGATTCAGACGATGTCTTCTCATCTACACTAAAATGCTTAATTGAAATCTCCCGCGACCCAGCGGTAGACAAGCATATTCTGCTCCTTGCCTTCAAAAAAGCAATGCCTAAACTCAGGCAAGCAGATGCTTTAATGAGGGCATTTTATATTTATGAAAGCTATGTTGAGCTTTCAACCTAATTGGCTTTTTAGACCCATGTCTTCTGTTTTTCAGTGATGAACCTCTAATAACGGCCTTAAAATTCAATTTTATATGAATAACAGTTCAAACACCACCAGAGAACTGACCATTTGCACGTGGAATGCCAATGGATTAACATCAAAAATTCACGAAGTTCGTGATTTTGTAGTAGAGCACGATATTGACGTGTTTTTTAGTCCAAGAGACTCACCTTACCCCAGGGAATACTCCCAAAATTGGGAATTATGACATTTATTGTACTGACAGGGTGTCACAGGGCAGAAATCCCTGTGGTGGCACTTGTATCTATGTGAAGCGTTCGTTAAAGCACCACATGATACCGTCCCCTGATTTAAATTTTTTGGAAGCGACAATCATCAAAATTTTCCTTCAAAATTCCTCCCCGCTGACAATAGTCTCAGCTTATCTACCTCCACTGTCTACAGCACGTGGAAGGCCAGCTTTTCCTGTCAGTGATTTTGATAAACTTTTGAATATTTCAAATCACCTAATAATTGCTGGTGATCTAAATTCACGCCATACCGCATGGTTTTGTTCTAATAGGAACAGGTATGGTATTAGTCTAAATTCATGGTGCCAGAGTAACCATGTACAGATCATAGCTCCTACCCTCCCGACTTTTTACCCTGTTAGAGGGTCCCCTGCAGTTCTTGATCTGGCTGCCTTTTATAATATATTTTTTCGGCATGAGATAAAAGTGATTCAGGAATTGGACTCTGATCACTACCCCGTTTTGATAATCCCTAGATATTCAAAATCGATACTCAAAATTAGAGGAGCAAGT